GCTCGTCCAGCAGCACTTTCCCGGGAGCTCCGCGGCGGCATTGACGGGTCCGGCACTGTCCCGTGAGATACCCCATAACTTCCCTCCCGAATTCCGCCTTGTGGGCGCCCGTGGCCTCTGGAGCCGCTCCGGGGCTTTCCGCACAAATAGCGACGCGGAGGAAGGGCCCGAAACGCGGAATGAAAACTGGGAGCTGGGGAGGGCGGCTCTGTTTCCTCCTTCCGACCCGCTCTGGTTTGGCAGCAATTGCAGCGGTGTCTGTCCATCTAGACGCGAGTTTTCATTAAAGGCAGCGGTGAAATCAGTCTTTAGCGAGGGCGGCGTTCGGTTTTCCTTAAATGAACACCGAAACTCGGTCCATAAAGTACCTGCTGTTAATGTTCTGAAGCCCACCAGCGATCTAGGAATTATTCCCAGTAGAACAGATGCATCCTGATGGGCATGGATGCAGTTTTTCTTACCCTTGAATTGTGTTTTGGGGCATTTACCCTGCAAAGGGGACTAGACAAATAGAAATGCAAGTGAAGGGTCAGGATGAGGTGTGTCCATGAGCTGTTTTTGCAGCTGAAGATGTAATTTTTCAGAAAATTACCAGTAACTAAACTATTAAAAGTATTGGCCAAGCAAACAGCATGCAAGTTTTTGCTTTTACAGGCCCTTTATTAGTGGGTGACATCAAGTTAGGAACTCTAGTGTTAGCTACRGAGAAGTTTATTGCATGTTGATAGGTAAGAAAGTTAATATTCTCTTTTATTTTTTCTGTGTTAAAACCTGAAGCAGTCCAGAATAAAGCTAGAGATTTGCTTTTGATTTATTGTGAGCTCTCTTTGTATTCAAGATTTTCTACTTGAATTTTCTTTTTAGTGGTTGATGTGTGTCAGGAGGGTACRAAAATACTATTTTGGAATAGAGCCACTTTTTTTTTTTTTTTCTTATAAAGGAGATACGAAGCTTTATATTGCAGAGTTTATTAGATTATATCGTGAAGCTATATTGCAGAAAACCCCTTGTTTTCACAGTGGAGAGGGCAAGAAAAGCTGCCCTGTAGCCCGGTGTGATAGAATGTGTTTATCCCCCTACAGTTTATTTTAATGTTTCCATAAATTATAAGCTGTGATGACAGCTGCATTAGCAAGCAGAGTCCTGCAAATTCTTATCCATATGAGTAGTCCTGTTGAAATAAATGGGTTTGCTTGCATGAGAAGTTGCTTGGCCGAGAGCTGTAGGACAAAGATTCTCCTTTCATGAGGGAACCTCTGCTGAGCTAAGGAGCTTTCCGAGGGAGCAGCGCTTTGTTTTTCAGCCTGGCATTTTAGTGCTGCAGTGCTATTAATGAGTCAAAAACGCACTGATGTTTTTATTTGTTTTCTGAAGTTGCATAAGCTGCTTAAAGTGCTGCTGGTTTGGACTGAATGAACGTGCTCTGGGTGTCCCTGCAGGAGCAGGGGCTTGGGCTAGGTGATCTCTAGAGGTCCCTTCCAACTTCAACCATTCCGTGACTCTGGGAACGCTGCGTTTTGGTTAGCCACCAGCAAATGATAAAAAGAAGTTGATTTGAAGACTTTAAAAATTGGTTTGAAAGTAATGGCTGCCTCCCCTGCTCCGCGCATCGTGATGTTTTACAGCAGAACAGCGCTTAGCCCATCAGCGTGGCAGAATTCTGGCATTTTGTATAAATGCAAAGAAGAAAACCCCGAAATTTCCATGCTTCTGATCGCCCTTGTTGACCCTTGTTCCCGAATGCCGTCGGGATGTGGATGTCGGGGCGTTGTGTCCCTCAAGCAGAGGGCTGGGTGCAGGGGGGCCGCGCTCAGGCCGTATCCGCTCCTGCGCTCCGGGGCCTGGCCCTTCCCTGGACACCCCTGTGCCCGGAGCCTGGCCCTTGCCCTGCCGCTTCCAAGCGCTTCTGCAGCGTGTGGAGTTGCAGCACGTTCTTGGGCACGTGCTTTTCCGAAACGTATGCATACCTTGTTAATGTAAATTAATGCAAGCGAGTGTCCTACGCGCGGCGCCTTTGGGCTTGCCAGGGAGCGGCCCCTTTGGAGCAGGGAGCGGCGCAGCGGCTGACTTCAGTGCAGACGTTTCCGCCGTTTCCAGAGCTCCTTCTAGCCCTGCTGTCCCTGCGGCTCCCAAAATGGGCCTTGCCGTTGCCGAAGAGCCAAGGAAGGGTCCTGTTGGGCGCCAGCAATGCGGACTGGGGGCCCCTCTCGTTCTGTCCCCTGGCTGTGCCCAGCCGGCAGCGCGAGGCCCCAGGGCTGCTCCTGGTCCCGTTCCCGTGTGCTGCTGCAGCTGCCTATGGGGGTGAGGAGCACGGCGAGGCCCCCAGCAGCGGGACGCATTGTCACAGTGTCCCCGTGACCTGGGGCTCGTCCCCGTGATGTGGGGCTCGTCCCCATAACGCTGGCCCGAGAGAGCAGAGCAAGTCACCTAACTTATGGCGCTGCTGAGAGGGTGACGGGACTGCTGGTGCCCGCGGCTGCTGCCTCCCTGCAGCCCCCGAGCGCCTTGTGGCGACAGGAGCAAGGCCACGTTACGGTGCCTGAGCCTTGCAGCAAAGCTGAGCCTGGCTGCTGAGCCCCTGTCCCGCGTCACTCCCAGGAAAGGCCTGGAAATGTCGGCCTGGTTAAAGGAAACCCCCGCATCCGACACCTTTGCTTTGCAAGTAGGACATCTGAGTTTTTAAGGGACACAAACGCGTGAAAATGGCACGTACTGAAATGATGGGGTGTAACAAGCAGAGAGGCTGTGGTTGCTGGCGCTCTGCTTGCGAGTCGTGGGCTGCAGGGGAGGACTTGGCGGGTTGTAGAACAGGATAAAACTCCTTGTGTTGCAGTTACTGGAAGCAAGTTCACAGCTCTTAGCTAGTTTTGGCCTTTTAACAATATTGACTCTTTCCATAGCTCGCCCGTGCTATAATCCATTCCTTACAGCGCRGTCCCGACTGGGCTGGTTTGTTGTCTGTTCTACCTTGGCCATTCCAGGTACCTGCGTGCAGCAGAGGGGTTGGGTGTGAGAAGGGCAGGATCCTGCTGAGGACGGGCAGGAAGGCGGGCGCGGGGCGGCTGGAGCGCTGCGCGGAGCCCGGGCTCCCTCCTGCCCCGCTCGGGGCCGCGCTGTGGGGCTGGGGCGGCTCCGCTCGGCGCCTCCATGAGGAGCGGGCTGCCCGGCGGCGCTTCCCCCCGCCGCTGCATTCCGGGTGCCCTTTTCCGCACGGATCGCGGGACTGGCGCTGCTCTGTGACCTTGGGTGCTCCTGCAGTCCACGTGCTGGGCCTGATATGCGCGGGTGTCCCTGTGCGTAGTCTAAGCACCATCGTTGGCACGTACGGCTTTCTGCTGCGTACCCAGGCTGGCTCTGCTCGGACTCCCTCCGTGCTCTCCTCGGCTTGGCTGCACCCTGCTCGACGCCGGCCCCTTCCCTGCTTTTCCTTCTGATTCCTCCTAGCGACTCGAGGTCCCAGGGGCTTTCACGGCATATGGTACCGAYGGGGCTGCAACTAGGTCTTAAAATGCGTGGAAACTCCTTTGGGAGCCCTGTGCTGGTGTACGCTCCAGATGCCTCGGGTAAGATACAAGAGGCCATTTGTAAGCGCCAGAGTCTAAGCTAACCGCTGCTAAAGCTCTAAAATACATCAAAAAAATAGAAAGTTAAACTAGAAAGTTAAAAGGGTGTTTTCCCATGACATCAAAGATTTATTCTGAATATTGTGTTTTTTACCTCTTCCATTTGTTTGTTCAATTCAGTAATTGAAAAGGGAGTGTGTGTCCTGGGCATACATGCATGTATGTATAGATACATACATATATGTGTACACACACACACTCACTCAGCTATTTTACTTCCAAGCCCCTTGTATGGGTTTCGGCGTGGGGGCAGCTGCAGGTACGTGGTCRGTTCTTGCCTTTCTGCATCTTGCTTCCTGCCCTTGAAGGACCAGTTGCTTTGCAGTGGGAGCTCTGCATCCATCGGGCCAGGGCAAGACCAGTCTCCAGAGCCCTGGCTTGTTGCAGACGGCAGCAATAGCAGTCTATTAGCTTAAAAAATAAAAATAAATAGCTTAAAATATATATATTTTTCATGGGTGTGCATCCTGGGCCTCAGCAGTGAGGTCTCTTCCCCCTTGTCTCATAGTTCAGATACTTCTTCAAAGATCCCATTTAACAGGGCTGCATGGAAACGCTCTCTGTCCCCAMAACGTAGCTGCACTTTCTGTGCTTTCTCGGCCCACTGGGGTAGTGGCTGCYCTAAATTTTAAGGGCAGCGTGCTCGTGTTGCAGGTCTGACAATAAATAATGGGTGTTTTTTGTTGGGGACTGTTGATGTGCCGCRAGGCTGCCTTACGCAACTAATGAATTAAAGCAGCCGGCCGCCT